AAGGGAGATGAGGTGGGAGACTCCTTAACGCCAGGTGTCGCAGGGGGAGAGCAGGAAGAATAGGGAGGGAGGAGGAAAGAATAGGATGGCAGAGGGAGAGGGTACACGTCAGATAACAAAAGATCTTAGGAACTGTACTGGGAATATTTGCTGATTGGACGAGCTGTTGTTTCTGTCTAGACAGGCAAGGAGGATCTGTCCCTCCCTTCCACCAGACAGCTAAGGACAGTCTAGTAAGCTGGAGACTATTCTTTACTTTCACTATCTAGGGAAGGACAGTATAGTTGAAAATGGTACATAATACCATGGTCAGCTCCATGGTCTGGAACGATATATCGTTCCAGACCACAGAGCTGAACTCTTCTCCAGGCTGAGGGACTGATCACCTCGAATACTTTTTCTCCAAGGTTGATGGACTGATTACATCATCTTTATTTCAATCCTACTGTTCCCAGTGTATTTGTCTGAAGAAGTCTACTGTGTAGGCGAAACGTTTCATCGATAAAGATACCCAACAACTGCACCTGTGTCTTAATCTTCAAGGACAGTATAATACTCGGAAACTCATTATACAAGACATATGTCGCCCTTCTCTTTATTTAGTTATTCTCGTGTTTTATGTAATATAGGGACCAATGTAATCTGAGAATTACTAAGATCATTGTCATTTTGATTTTGTTTATATTTTTAATTTGAAATTTCTGGCTATGAAACCTAGCATTGTTAGTTTTGCTGCTTCTGTGTAGCAAATCTAACTCAGCTAGCGGGTTTCCGAGCATATATTTAATTATAACGTATTGAAAAGGAATTGGTTTACGTATATCTAGACTGAAGCTCCTCTTCCACGCCTCCGATCACATCGCCAATCTATCTAGATTCCTCTTCACACTTCTTCACCCCGTCACGGATGTGCTGTCATCTGCGTAATTTGCACTTTTAATGTTAGTCCCGTTTTAGTATAATTGATGTAAATTATGAAGTTGAGTCAAGGACCGGTCCCTTGAGGGACCTCCACTTGTTGCCTTCAGTCATATATTTCACCGGTCCCAGTAACTCGTTCTTTCGTATGTACGAGACGATCACTGATATACGCCCGAAGTTTGTGTCTCACCAACCGTCTCCATTATACTCAGAAGTCTTCTTGTAAACAGTTCCTAGTATGGGCCAGTAGGACTTGCTGCAGTGTTCGTCCTTATGTTCTTATCATTTGAAAACTCTTTGCAAACAGTTGCACTGAATCTGTTGCGAATTTTCGAATCGGTAGACACCGCCGCACACAAAATTGGGAGAGAATTGTTATAGCTGGTGTTTATATGACAGTGTCCTCTGTATGTGTGTATATATAGTTAATCAGTATAGTTAGCTTGCTATGACTGATTCATAAAGACTTGACGAACACACTGGGCAGGTGATGCAACACTGGACGTCGCTGGTTGAAGGAAGGATCGCCGAGATGGAGAGATGGGTGGAAAGAGGGAGTGGGATGGAAAAGGTGGAAACAAGAAATTAATAGGAGGGAGAAGCAAAACACTGAGGAGGATGCTGGACTCTACCGCCCTTCCATCCTCCCCCCTCCTCCTCCTCCTCCTCCTCCCTCTTGCTGTACCTCCCACAGGAAATGGAGTATTACCTCCTCCTCTGCTCGACACCTGTGACCTTTGTGGAGCTCCCCCTGCACGCTATGATATCCTCTCTCTCTCTCTCTCTCTCTCTCTCTCTCTCTCTCTCTCTCTCTCTCTCTCTCTCTCTCTCTCCCTCTCCCTCCTCCCTCCTGTGTGTTCGTTCTTCTAAACCTTCCTTCATCTATATATCCGTCCATCCAAACCTTCATCCATGTCTCCGTCCATCATCTATCATCCGTTCGGATTTTTTTTTTTGTGACCTCGTCAACTATTTTTTTTTTTGTATAAGACTCATTTCTTGTCATTTCGTCTTCATTTTTTTACACTCTAGATTTTAACTTCCACACATCATGTCATTTCTACTCGTCATATCTGTTTCACATCACAATCATTTCCTCACGTTAGATGACTCGCTTGCATATATATCATTTCCACATGTTGCATCGTAATTTTCCCACATGTCATACAATTTCTTTAATCATTATTTCCATGCGCCACTGTCGCATATCATTTCCCCTTATTACTTCCACAAAGGTCATTTCTGGCGCGCATCTTCTGCGCGTCATTTTCATACGGCCTTTCTGGACGCCATTTCCGCTTTTTTTTTTTTTTTACAGTTCACCTTAATTGGTCATTTCGACGGGTCATTTCCAGAAGACATTTTTATGTTCTCAAATGACATGACCGCACGTCACTTCTGCTGCGTGTCGTCTAAAGTCATTTTTTTTCGACTGACGAAGCATGTCGCCTGATGCTCCTGCCAGGTAGTCCACTGATTCGTAATTCATTGCTGGTGTTCATTATTGTTGCCATCGTTTGCTGCTCCTGCTGTAGCTCCTGTTGTAGCTCCTGCTGTAGCACCTGTTGTTTCTTCTGTTGCTTCTGTTCACCCCTTCCACTCTTTCCGTCTCCCACTCTCTCAACCAAGCTCCTTCCTCTCTCACCTCCCGGATTCTCTCTCACTTCTCAGTTCTCTTGTTTTTACCTCACTTCGCACAAACCTCGCTACATCTTTATAAGCTTTCTTCTCTCGTGTTTTCTTCTTTTTCTCATGTTCTGTTTCTCACCTCTCACGCTCTCTTCCTATTTTTCTTTTGGCTTCTTATTCTTCCATCCAGTGTAACTTCTCTCTAAGTTGCCCACTTCCTCACTCGTCTCTTCTCTAAATGCTTGTAACACTGTTAACCAAAGATCAGCCATCAGCCAGCCTGTTGATCCCACCTGTGCCACCATGACTCGTAAAGTGCCACCAAGGAGATTACCAGGTATAGTCTCCAGGATCAGCCTATAAATTTAAAAACACGTGTGCACATTTTCAGTTTCATTGACTCCAGTGATTTTAAGAATAAGAATTTTACTATATACGGTGATTTAAAAATTGTGTTACCATCAAATAAAAACAAATACTTCGTGTGGTGGCCAAGGTGAGGCCCGGAGGATAAGGCTGGGATGGGAGGGCCAGGGATGGGAGGGGAAGCCCAAGCTTCATATCACTGCGCCAGGAGAATCTTCACTATCATTAATCTCCCGTGCATTTACGAGACACAAAGAACATGAAAAGGCCGTAGTTAATTTAGGAGGCACAAAGAGGCGGGGCGGGAACGAGGTTGGGGTAGAGGGTGCATATACAAGCAGGTAGGAGACAATGGTGCATGGAATCTGTGATCTCATGCCCTGCCCGTGCCCCGGCGGAGGCCAGCCACCCTCTTCTCCAAGGGGCTCTCTGTCCATGATGGCTATGGCTCCTGGGTACCTTTCTCTTCACTGCTAAGCTGTATAGAGCGTGCTCTAGAGGAGACTTAGGCCGTAAGACCCAGTGGGCTCTACAGACGAGCAAAAAATAGTGTTTGGGAAGAACATGGCGTTCTGCCTTCAACGTTTCACATCTCTCCAGATAATGTTCTGTAAAGTTAAGGCTAGAGCGCCAACACCTCACACACACAGGTACTTAATAGTATGTGTGTGTTCTTGATTTGTGTACGTAGCAATGGTATAGTGTAAACTATAAATAAAAAAAAACATGAACAGACTAGAAAGTGGTTCCCAGGGCTACAGAATGTCTGTTACGAAAAAAAAAATGTTGAACTAATTTATCATGCCATCTTTGACTTAAAAGAGAGGAGGGGGGGGGGGGAGAGGTGACAGTACCTCACAAACCTTTCTCACGCGTTTTATTGTGATTTCTTTTTATGTCGTGCCAAATAGGTAAAGCTGGTCAATTAGCAAGAACTCGTTTAAAATTAGGTCTTTTCTAAAAAAATTTCTTGTACGTTTAAAGATACATTTTTTCATTTATGTTCATGTAAAAATTAATAAATTTGTACCAAAAGAACCTTAGAAAACTTGCCTAACCTTCTTACAACAAGCTCAATTTAATTTAGCCTAATCCAACTAAATATATTTAAGATAGGTTTACAATAATAAACAAAAAATATAATATTTTCGTTAGGTTCAGAATGATTTTTGCGAAATTATTGCACACACGAATTTTCGCTTGCCTAGTTCGGCAAGAGCAGCGTTGCTATTTAAGACAAAATCGCAAGTTTTACCTATTCGGCACGATATTATATATATATATTATATATATATATATATATATATATATATATATATATATATATATATATATATATATATATATATATATGGCACATCACGAAGTAATGCGTTCTCTCGCTCGCTCGCACGCTTGTGTAGCCTACGTAAGTACTCGACTATCTTTAGGAAAATTGTGGAGCTAATACAGGAACATGTACTCCCTTTGTCTCCATGGAAGGTAAGCGTGTGTGTGTGTGTTAAATTCTAGACATTTTTTGCAGGAACGAGGGAAGCTTCACCTGGGTACCAGACGTAAGTTTAACTCGGGTGAAGGGAAAAAGAACAAGGTTAGTGGTAATGAATGAAATGTCAAGAAATTTTGAAACTGGAGGTTCAAATTTTTGTTTCCATAACTCACTGTAGTTTGCAGTTTTCCTTATGTATAATATTTCCTTGTGTATAATATTCGTCTTGTATTTCATTCATCTCGTTAGAATTAAAGGGTTATTGAAGCGTCTTAGTATCATTACCAAAGCATCAACACCCAGATATTCACAACACTGTTAAGTTTATCACAAATTGTGTAACATTTACCTTCCACTTGAACTGTCATGTCAGACACACTGGATGAAAGTTAGTTTAAACTATATTGCTAACTAAATAATGACAGTGACTGGGCAAATTAAAGTTGAAGGGTTAATTACAGGTGGTCGTCTCGTAATTACAGCCTTCCATCACAGAGGTTCGAAACACATTTACTATGCTTTTATCTGAACCTTGACAAGCTTGCCAAGTTCGACACATTGTTGATATTGTCTCTCTCTCTCCTCTCCTTGACAGAGCCAAAAGCAAGAACGGAGGGCGTATACTACGAGACAAGTTGGAGAAGATCGGTCTCAACTTGCCTGCGGGGCGAAGGAAGGCTGCCAACGTTACCTTGCTAACCTCACTCGTTGAAGGTAAGAGGTCACCTTGCCTAGAGTGTTTCACCGGTCTTGCCTTGTAAATCTTGTGGATTATTTGTGTGTTATAGGCATGCTGCTATGGACGTGGAAAAGGTATTCCTCGCAAGATACCTTAACACTACAGGACCAGGATCATTCTCGTTGGCAGTCGGAGAATGCTTATAGATTTTTTTCTTGGTGGGGGGGGGGGGGGGCTGAGTTGAAAGCTGTGTAGTGGGTTCGGTAATATTTTCTCCTTGTCTGAACTACGTTTTATTATTATTATTATTATTATTATTATTATATAAGGTTATTTCATTAAGAATTTTACAGAATGGAACTCATTGGAAGACGATCCAGCACCGATCGACTTCCTCTTAGATTCACTGAGATTAAAAATATAAGTCATAATTCCGTGGGTGGAACACAAGTAACGCTCACTCATGGCGACATTATTAGTTTCCAGTGATCCAGGATGGATCGAAACGTCGTAATAAGTTTTATAAGTGTTATTTGTAAAGCCTATGAGACACATTCCCCTCCAGAATTCTGTCTACAGCAACTAATATATTTTTCATGGAATTATAAATTTGCATAAATTTCTGTCAGTCTTTTTAATTATTTTCGTGGTGAGCGTCTCCTGGCGAGCAGCAGCGACGGGGGTCGCAGTCTTCATGAGGTCGTCTCACCCCCTGCTCTCCACGTTTCCTACAGATTTAAGACCACATTCTCGAGTTATATGAAGGTGGTAACCTGTCCCCTGTGTACTCGCCTAGTTGTGGTTGCAGGGGTCGAGTCACGGCTTGTGTGTGTACTCGCCTAATTGTGGTTGCAGGGGTCGAGACTTGGCTCCTGGCCTCGCCTCTTCACTGATCGCAACTAGATTCTCTCTGCTTCTTGAGCTTTGTCATACCTCGTCTTAAAGCTATGTATGCTTCCTGCCTCCACTACATTGTGTGTGTGTGTGTGTGTGTGTGTGTTTAGGGTACCTCGTATTAACAGACTGGTTGAACTTACTGGTTGTCGTAACATAGGTCGGTAGACTCGGCTATCAGTACGCACTCGCACTACGGACAAGCCCTCACTGGCACCGCGGAAACATACTCCCGCCACACGCACTCGCAAAAACACACACACACACACCACACACACAACACACACACACACACACACACACACACACACACACACACACACACACACCCGGACACACACACACACACACACACCCGGACACTATACACAACCCTCACATAGGAAAATGAAAGTTGTGGCGACGTTTTGGTCCGACTTGGACCATTAACTAGCCATTAACTATGTTCGGGTTATTTGTGTATTGTTCCAGTTACAGTATTGTGCCTTTTCATTCTTCACCGCTGACACGCCCTACGACATATTGTTTAAAGGCTACTCGATAAAGATAGTGTATTTATTAAAAAAATCAGCAATATTTCCTGAATTTTAATACTGAAATATTTCTACGTAATACTTGGCCTTGCATAACACGCAAAATATTATTCACGATATTCGTACATTGTAATCTTTGTCATTCAGTCAGTCTGTTTTGCGTCTGTCCGTCAGTTCTGTACTGTCAGGGAGTCATGCCCACTGCGTTTATTTTTAAATATCAGTGGGTCGCTCCGACTCCTATGGCCTATCTGGGCGGTGGAGCGAGGTCAGGGCCAGCTGGCCCTGACCTCGCTTCGTGGCAACGAAATTGACAGGTGGGGGTCTTGTACCTAGCAGGTCTCTTAGCTCCGCCTCAGTCACTCTCTCGTTCTCTTTCCGACCTCCCTCCCCTCCCCGACCACCCCTCACACCTCCAGGCACCATTGCTCCCTCCTCAGCAATCTTTCAATTATTGTGGGACTCGCCTATGATCTTGCGATGGGTTAGGGCGGTGTTGGGAGCAGGTTAATTGGCTAAGTCTGTCGATTCTTCAGAGGGTCATTAAGGCTGCATGACGCCTGTTCACTACTAATTAAGAGCATTTCAATCCCTGAAAATAAGGATTTAAGTGTAGGTGTTTATATTCTGTGAAAGAGCAGGTGATGGTAGGTGAACTAGGTGTTGATGAGTGGGACAGGTGTTGGTGAGTGGGTATAAGTGTTGAGGTGGTTCTCCCTCCCCCACTCCCAAACACATCATCGCTCTCTGAATCCATTACCACCAGAGCTAAATTAATTACGTACCAAGCCCCCAAACTAATAACCATTTACTATAATCCCATTATCATGTTTTCTAAGCTTATTATCTTGTCCTGTTAACCTATTATCACATCCTCTTCAACTACTCATTACCTTATCTTCCGAAGGTAATTTAATCTCACGACCAATTACCCTCTTTCCTAAGCTCAACACATGTCCTCCAAACCCATTACAATGTCCTCTAAACCCATTACCGTGTCCTCTAAACCCATTATCATGTTCTCCAAACACACGAACACATCCTCTAAATATATAAGCATATCCAAATGTATTACCATGACCGATTCCATTACCAACTTCTATATGCTTTTGGGCTAATTTTTCATTGCTTAGCAATAATTCAGTTAAGTGTGCTCACCCTGGCATCATTTAAGAGGCTGATTGATCAGATTGTATTCTGACTCTTTATTATCAACATCAATGCCACTAGCCAATTTTTGTCTTGAGTCTCGTAAATAGGAAGTCAAGTTTTATGTGTATAAGCAAAGAGTACTGCGTACAGGAGGTAAAGTTTGTTCAAACGATGGAGCACCGAAGGGAAGCTGACAACACGATTGAGGTATACGAAAACGAATTGACAAAACTAGCCTTTATTTTTACCATCAGCGCAGCGTATGTCCTTCCCTATATACTGTGTAATACCGGGGTATACCTGGGGTATACCTCCATCTGCTTCACGTCACCTCACTACAGTATATAAGCCACGTCTACGGCCCTATGCTGTACATTCTACAAGATTGATGGACTGAACACATCGACTCCAGGTTGAGGGACTGATTACCTCATTCTCCTCCTCTCCTTACGCCTTCCTCTTTGTATTGGACTGATGAAGCCACTGTGTGGCGAAACGTTTCCTGAATAAAGATTCCCATATGCTGCATAAGTGTCTCAATCTTCAACTTGTCGGTTTTTCAAACCATTCATCACACACACACGGGGTATACCTGGAGAGGGTTTCGGGGATCAACGCCCCCGCGGCTCGGTCTGAGACCAGGCGGACCAGGGATAGTAACAGTTGCTTCAGCGTTTATCCTAGCGCAGTGTAGCCTCTCAGTTGTCTATATTAATCAGTCTATCCTACCGCCGTTACTGTCTGGTTAGTGTTAGATGCGGTACTGAGTGAGGCTGTAATAGGTGGATCAGTTATAGTTACTGAAATGTTATTGTTTATTGATCTTCGTTTCATTTTCCAGTTTGCGCTGCTGTGTATTATTCAGTATTTTTATATTTTTTATTGAATGTTTTCATTTCTGAATCTGCCCCAACCAAGTTGTTTGCATAAGCTCGAAAATAATAAAAGTAATTGAGTCTTGGAAGAAGTCTTCGTCTTACCAGAACTAACTTTATTGGTGTTGTTAGTTATTATTTAACAAACTTGGGTACACCAGCTATCACAAAAGTAAGAGACAACATAGACATAAATCTGTATAATTCTTTAACCTAGCTAGCAAAATTCTCTAGTTATTGACGCCTGCTCAAGATATGGGCAGGCTTCAGTGTCTTCCACTGCACGCTACGGCATATATAATTGAGCTAAAAAAATGAACTTGGCACTGTTGCATACGTGTCTTACCTAACAACTTGGCAGTAAGCCAGGGACATGGATATTGACATTTGAGGATTATTGTGAGTTGATGCTTATCTTTTTCAAGAGTGTGTGTGGGACTTTCACATCAGAGCTTATTTCTTGGGTGGCATTGAAAATTGGGTTGGGCAAATGTTTTGTTAGTGGGATGAATTGTAAAGGACCTGCCTAGTATGGGCCAACAGGCCTCCTGCAGTGTTCCTCCTTTCTTATGTTCTTATGTTTGTGCTTGTACGATGGTGAAGGGCTCCTGCTGCAAGGATTTGAAGCTATCCTTCCTTTTGAATAAAACCTGATTGCCTCCCATTCTCCAGGTACTGTCAGGCCATGAGTTAGTGCTCCCCATGGTTATAATAATGATACCTCGATGTTCAGTGGTGAGGTGGGAGGCTGATTCTAAACAAGTTGTTCGCTATACTGAGTTATTCTGTACTGTTTTCATGTACTGTTATGCTGTGTTGCTATGTTGTGTGGTGAAATTATTGTATTTTCAAGGGTTTGATTAGTCTGGTTCACCATTTTGAAATTTTGGTGATGAAGCAGCCGACTGAACGAACCAGTGAAGAGAGCACTAGAGCAGGGAATACAACGCTCCAGGGCAGAAAGAGCACTCAAACAGTAGACAGAACACACCAGGGAGGAAAGAGAGCACTGTAGCAGCAGACAAAACACACTAGTTCAAAAAGTGAGCACTGAAGCAACGAAGAGAACACATTAGTGCAGATAGCACTTCCAGCAGAAAGGTGACACTGGTATTTCCGAGTTGCAGAACCCCCGAATGAGATTATATCCGAGGAAATCAAGTAAGAAGAAAGGGAAAATTTGGGAACCTGGAGATAATGACGAAGTGAAAGAAAGATATGAATACTCGCGTGTCCCTACAGGGTGGTGTGGTGGTGGTCGTTGTGTGGAGTAGTGGTATGTTTGTGGTGGTCCTGTGTGCACTGGTGGGGGTGTTGGTGGGCGTTTGGCAGTGTAGTGGTAGTGTTGATGGGTGGAGGGGCATTCGCCTATATGTAGTTGCAGGGGTCGAGTCTCTGTTCCTGCCCTGCTTCTTCCCAGGTGGTGTATGACGTGTGTGTATTTTTGGGTAGGTTTGTGTGTACGCGCGCGCGAGTGTTGTGGGTGTAGTGTGGTGGCAGAGGGTGGGTTGAGGATGGCTGAGAGTTGCGTGCAGACCAACAACTCTGCCTGGTCTGGTAATTACAGATTCTCGGGAGCCC